TGCCCCCACTCTCATCTCCTCTCACTCCCCCCGGCTCTGGAGGGACCGAGCTTTGAGACCTCAACGACCCTCAGACACTGGGACTGCGTGTCTGTACATCTACATCATCAGACCTCAGATCCTGTCATTGCTGTGTACAGCTCACAGGTGAGAACCGAGCTGCTCTGCTCAGTGGGGTAGCAGCAGAGTTTACCACACCCAGCGCGTCCCAAACTGGACCTGGGATCTTCCCTCCCTCAGGTCCTGCTTACTCATCTATCCCACAGACACCCTGTGGGCTAATGCAGCGTGCAGGCCCTGAGGGTAAAATTAGGAACCAAAACAGAACGCACATCCTTGCTGCCTTCAGGCTGTGGTTGCTGAGATGAACTGTTTGAACTTTGATGTCACAGTGGCTTTGTGCAGGGAGAACGCCTCGTGGGAGATTGGCCCTCTGACACATGTTCCCTGTCGGCACTCTCCCTACAGAGCAGACCCAAAGGCTCCTCTTGCTCTTATTGTAGGCCCAGGACGGAGCAGGTGCTCGTTAGTACATGGAGTGAATGATGATCAGGTGTGGAGGGAAATGGGGAGTTCTGTCTGGGAGATCTGAACTCGACAGGGGCCGGTGTGCAGGAGGGAGCAGAGTGGACACTGAGAGGAGACGGGGGAGAGGCGCGGGGGCTTTGAGTCAGGGAAAGAGGGAGGAGAGGGTTCTGGAAGGGTGAGGCCAGAGCTCAGGAGCAACAAGGCTGCTCCCGGGTTCCAGGGCTCTGTGCGTTAGGCCTTGGGTTCCTGGAGATTTCCTGACATCTTGGGATTAACTCCTCCCCCGCCTGAGTCTAGCTGGGATGGAGGGTGGGGGATGGGGGAGAGTTTCCTGTCCCATTGGGAGTCTGGAGTCTCCTGTGCTATGCTCTCCCCATACTCACTCGGTCACCCAGGGTATCACCTGGGAATCCATTCCTTCCATCATTCAGCAAACGTCAGTGTAGTTGACCACTAGCGCTGGGCATGGGACAGGGCCCTCCTAAGACCCCTGCCCTTTGCTCTCCCCCACGCCCTGCCCTGCTCAGGTCTGGGCAGCCCCCACTGTCCCCAGGGAGAGCAGCGGCAGCAGTGTCTGTGAGGCCCAGCTCTGGCCACGCTCTCTGCCTGTGCAGAACCTCTCTGTTCCACAGCGGAGCCTGAGAAATCTCTAAATGCAGAGTGAACATGGAGAGATGAAGTGATGACGGCAGAGGTAGTCCCATCTAGGTAGAACAGCAAACCTAGAAAAGTCCCGAACCAAGCACATGTCCCTCCACAGCCGCTTAGCCCAGCCTGTGAGCGCTCTGTGCACTGCCCTGCCTCAGCTTGGTGGCTCAGCCCCAGTGCCTGTGTGGCTGCTGCTTACAGAACAAACTCCCAGCCCCACCAGGCTCTGTCCTCCCTGTGGTCTGCAACATCTCCTCTCTAGGAAACCCCTCTCCCAGAAGCCTCTGACTTCTCTGGGCTCCCACTGGGATGGCCTGCGGTCTTAGTTCCTCGAGGGCAGGACCAGGCATGACTCATTCTATGTCCTGGGGACTCAGCCCAAGGCCAGACACAGGTGTGACCCAGAATGCTGCAGAGACTTTCTGGGCCTAGCGAACAGTGTAGACCATTGCAGAGCAGGGAGACTGCTGGCCTTGGTGACCAGGGAGGGGTGTGGAGTGGGGCCGCAGGCACAGGAGGGTGTGGGTGATTTGCTTCTTAATATTTCCCATGGAAATAAGCCTGTGCCTTTGCACCTTGCCATGCATTCAGAGAAGATTCTGAATGCTGGCTAAAGAGGCCAGGCAGACGGCAAGTTTTCAAACTCCTTATTCCATGAGAGAAATGCACAGGGGAGCGAGGGCTTCAAGGGAGAAAGAAAGGTCCCCAAATGAAGTTGCGGTTCACACAGCAGAGGGCAGGCCACTTCCACGTGCATGAGTTTTGGTGCTGAGAAGCCACAAGCAGCTTAGCAGGAGCAGCCAGGTGAAGGGAGAGCACAGGCGGCCCTAAGGCCACGCCCCCTTCCCCCAAAGCACGGGAACCAAGAGCATCCAAGGTCCGTCATGGAGTTCAATTGTGCAAGTGTTTGGACACACGGTACACACACCAGTTAGTAGCTGTTGCCACTGCTGCTAATTTCTTTTTAATATTTTTATTTAGGGGCCAGCCCTGTGGTGATGCTGTGTCAGCAACTCTAATGGGCACTGCTTTGAGTCTTGGCTCTTCCATGTCCGATCCAGCTCTCTGCTATGGCCTGGGAAAGCAGTCCAAGAATTCTTGGCCCAAGACCCTGGGCCCCAGCACCTGGGAGAACAGGAAGCAGATCCTGACTCTTGGCTTCGGATCGCCACAGCTCTGGCCATTGTGGCCATCTGAGGAGCGAACTGCAGGTGGAAGATCTCTCTGTCTCTCTCTTTCTCTCTCTCCCCCTCTGCCTCTGCTTCTCAGTAACTTTACTATTCAAATAAATAAATCAATCTTGTAAAAAATGTTTTCTTCTCAGACAATCCTTTTTTCTCCAAAAATCCTTCCTGAGGACCAAACGGAAAGTCCAACCAAGTGTCCAGCACGGGGAGTGTGGGGAAGAGAGATGGAGAGTGAGACAACCCCAGAACGAGCGCTTCCGGGGAAGCAGCCTCAGGACCCCCCTTCCGGCGACAGGTGCAGCTCCAACGCTCCCACCCTCCTAGCCGCTGTTACTGTGGAAAGTGGCATCGTGGGGACATTTGCTGCTCCCTCTCCCAGTCCTGAGTGTGGGCATTTGCACAGCAGATAATGTGAGGGGACAGCCTCTGGACCAGATTTCCTGGGGTCACTATTTGGTCTCTGTCCACTCTCTGCCTTTGGGGAATTGCTTCTCCCATTCCAGGACCTGGAAACTCCCAGAGGTCTCAAGAGATGGAGTGAAACAGTCATGGGAGGGGGTCCTGGGTGGGCAGTGGTCCCCCAGGACCTGGCACCTGGGACCTGGCCTCCTTAGTCTGAATCTCTGCCTTGCTGGTCACTTAAAAGTCACAAAGTGCAAGAGATTCTCTCTGAAGCCTCCTCCTTCTCTCCCCCTGGCTGCTCAGGGTCAGGACCAAATCCAGAGAGGAGGTGGCTGTCTCAGCCTGGATGCTCCACGCCAGGGCCCCACCTTCCCTCTGGCTCCAGGGACTCCCGTTTCATGGGAATGTTACGGAACCTGGGCTTAGAAAACTCCCTTTGTTCAAGCAGTACCAGAGACAGAGGAGGATAGAAGCAGTTCCTTTTTTTTTTTTTTTTTTTTTTTTTTGACAGGTAGAGTGGACAGTGAGAGAGGGAGAGAGAGAAAGGTCTTCCTTTTCCGTTGGTTCACCCCACAATGGCCGCTGCAACTGGCGCACTGCGGCCAGCACGCCGCGCTGATCCGAAGCCAGGAGCCAGGTGCTTCTCCTGGTCTCCTATGCGGGTGCAGGGCCCAAGGACTTGGGCCATCCTCCACTGCCTTCCCGGGCCTCAACAGAGAGCTGGACTGGAAGAGGAGCAACTGGGACAGAATCTGGTGCCCCGACTGGGACGAGAACCCAGGCTGCCAGAGCCACAGGCAGAGGATTAGCCTATTGAGCCGCGGCGCAGGCCTCGAAGCAGTTTCTTAATGCCACCTGCCTCAGCTGGAGTCATTTCCGGAGAACTGAGCCTCAAAGTCAAGTTGCTTCCAGAATGTACAGGTTCATCAGCATCATACCGTGGCTGTAACAGCACTGGGGGTTTACATTGCAGACCTGTGTGACTTAGTGGTATAGGCAGGCCTACAGGATCACATCCAATGAGGTTAGAGAGCTTGAAGTCCATATATTCAAGGTCCTGGGTGTTCTCAGCCCTTATTTGACCACACCTGAAGCCCATCTGCCAATCAGACTAATTAACCACGCCCCTTTTGAAGAGGATTATAGGCCTGGGACACCAACTGGTCATTTTCTCTTTCCCCTTTCTCGCCATGATGCACCTTGGTTGCTCTTGGTTCCCGTGCTTTGGGGGAAGGGGGCGTGGCCTTAGGGCCGCCTGTGCTCTCCCTTCACCTGGCTGCTCCTGCTAAGCTGCTTGTGGCTTCTCAGCACCAAAACTCATGCACGTGGAAGTGGCCTGCCCTCTGCTGTGTGAACCGCAACTTCATTTGGGGACCTTTCTTTCTCCCTTAAAGCCCTCGCTCCCCTGTGCATTTCTCTCATGGAATAAGGAGTTTGAAAACTTGCCGTCTGCCTGGCCTCTTTAGCCAGTATTCAGAATCTTCTCTGAATGCATGGCAAGGTGCAAAGGAACAGGCTAATTTATATGGGAAATATTAAGAAGCAAATCGCCCACACCCTCCTGTGCCTGCGGCCCCACTCCACACCCCTCCCTGGTCACCAAGGCCAGCAGTCTCCCGCCTGTGCCTGGCCTTGGGCCGAGACCCCGGAAAACAGAGTGGGACATGCCTGGCCCTGACCCCTGCCCCAGAGGAACTAGGACCAGCCCAGTAGGTGCCTAGAGGAGTCATAAAGCTTCTGGGAGAGGGGGTTTCCGAGGAGAGGCCATGAGTGCAGGACCACAGGGAGGACAGAGCCTGGTGGGGCTGGGAGTTTGTTCTGTAAGCAGCAGCCACACAGGCGCTGGGGCTGAGCCACCAAGCTGAGGCAGGGCAGTGCACAGAGCACTCACAGGCTGGGCTAAGCGGCTGTGGAGGGACGTGTGCTTGGTTCAGGGACTGTTCTGGGTTTGCTGCTCTACCTAGATGGGACTACCTCTGCCCTCATCACTTCA